GAGGTTCGAACTCCAGCAACCTGAGGCTGAGAGCTTTGTGGAAGCAGCCACTTAAAGGCCTGAGCTAGGGCCATGGCCCCACACAAAAGTGTTTTAAATTAAGGTTATAATTTTTTTCTTTGACAAATGTTTTAGTTCCATCAAAAATTACTTTTTATGATTATATATCTTTGTAGAGTTCCTGAGTTGGAGGTGGAAGAGGAAACTGAAGTACATGAGATGACCTTGGATGAATGGAAAAATCTTCAAGAACAAACCAGACCAAAACCAGAGTTTAATATCCGGAAACCAGAATCTACTGTTCCTTCCAAAGCAGTGGTGATTCACAAGTCAAAATATAGAGATGATGTAAGCATTGCATTTTGCATGTAGAGGTAATCCTTCACTTTTACCTGAGTGGGAGTGAAAGAGACCTCTCCTATTGTTTTGAAAGGTGGAACATTAGTAACTTATATTCTTGTTTCCGCTTAAGAGTAATCAGAGGGGGCTGGTGAGATGGCTCAGTGGTCTAAAGCACCTGCTTAGAACAAGCTTAGCAAAGCACAGGGACCACAGTTCAGTCCCCCAGCACCACATGCCAGCCAGCCCCGCCTCCTGGTGGGCTGAGCTGGCCACACACACACACACACACAAATAAATAAAATTTTTTAAAAAAAGAGTAATCAGAGGATGAAAAAGAATTTAAACTTAATGTATTGACACTAAAATACATAGCTGGTAGTGACAGCACATTTTCTGCCCAGCTTGGAACTGCATGGAGACTGTCCAAATATTGTATTCATTACATGTTCAATTCTATCTCGAGTGAGAGATACAGAATGTTTCCTGGACAATGCCATTGCAGAGGATGGAAATAGTTCTATATTTTCACAATTGGATTACCTGTAGTTCTAATTCTTGATGAGCATCTTGTGGGAGTAATTGCTCATCTTACACTACAGTTGGAGATCCAACACCCGTGATGCTTGTGTTATTTCAGAGGCTGTGTGCCCTCTGCCTAACTGCAGGAACTGCAGAGAAGTCCTGGACTGCGGAGCAGAGAGGTCAGGTACGGCCCAGACCGGCCGAACTGTGAAGGCTGCTCAGGAAGTTTCTTAGTGTTGCAAGGGTCTTATTTTCCATGGTTACATTTAGCTCTTTCTAAAGGGAGATATTTTGGAGAAATATCTACCACCATTAATTGATGAGACCATGCGTCACTAATCACATACTCTTTAAATTACTGAACTTAAGGGTACCCTGAAGCATCCCAGTTACAAAATTTGGAATTCGTATCATTTGATCCCAGCTTGAAACTAGTCACTCTAGATGACTCTTTGTTATTGGATATTAGTTATTGTTAGGTGGAGGCTCACAATACTGTGTAGATTTGTCTTTGTCCTCATGTTGGTAGACTTTCTGTTGATGTGACAGTATGTCTGAGGTAATCAACTTACAAGGAGGTTCTGTATGTTCACAGTTTCATAAGTGTCAGTCTGTGGTTGCTTTGCCCCATTGCTTTGAGCCTGTGGCAAGACAGAACACCATGGTGGAACTGTGTGGTGGAGAAAACTCCCACAGATTCAGATAAGGGCCAAGTCCCTTAACCCTTTACGGACAGGCTCTAGGTTAGTGATCTAACATCTTCCCAGTAGGCCTCACTTTCTATAAAGGTTTTCCCATTTTCCAGTAGTAGCATGGGCTGGGGGCAAAGCCTTTAACACACAAGCTGCTGGGGAGCATTTGCAATCCAAACTCTAAGAGTTCCTTCTCACATATATAGGTCAGTTATATTCTTTGAATGGATACTTTCTATAGGCTGTCATTTATGAAACAGTAGCCCCTCTCCTGTTTTGTCAGTCCACAGCCTAGGGAGCCTTACAAATAAGCCCTGAGATGTTCTACCCAGAATGGCTTTTCTAGACACAAGAGGCCAGAGCCTTGCTCTCCTGGGGATCTCTGTGAGGCACTTGGCAAACTCCCTAGCTGGCTAGGCTGCCTGCTGTCCACGTCTTGTTTCTTTTTTGTTCAGAGCAATGCAAATAAAGCTTTGTCTGTACCAGCTGTGCCATCAGGCGGAGAGACATGCAGCTGACATGTCAGTTAAAATCAGAAGTCTCTTCCCTGGTCTACAACTTTCATTGTTCTTGGCTTCCGAGGTGTGTGGGAACATTGGGAGCAACCAGTTTAGCTGTCATGGGCCTGACCTCAGTGACTGTCTCTTGGTCCTTGTTGATCTTAGCTATAGATTCTAGCGAGGGAATGCTCCTCAAGCAGTAAAAGCCACATCATGGGGTCATTAATTTACTTTGTTCGGGGCACCCTAAGACACAAAAGCCTAGAATAAAACCTCTTGTTTGCATAGAACTGGGCTGCCTACAAAGGTCAAATCTAGAGCAACTCTGTAAACCTTGCAGTGTGCCCAGGGCTACGGAGGGGTGAAAAGAGGGCTCAGGCCTGAGACTGTGCTGTGTTCCTCCTTCTCCCGAGCCTGTGTTTCATGTTTCATCTGGGGGAGGTGCCCAGTACCTCACTACCACCTCCACCCTGGTGCCTGCTGGTAGCCACCTGGCTTTTGAGTCAGAGCATTTACTGTTGCCTCTTACTGTGTGTGTGTGTGTGTGTGTGTGTGTGTGCGTGCGCGTGTGCGCACACATGTGTGTATGTGTTTTAACTTCCATCCAGTATTCACCTTTTTGGCCTCAGGGAACTTTATTTATTTTTTTTTAATTAATTTATTTATTTATTGTGTGTGTGTGTATGTGTGGCCAGCTCAGCCCACCAGGGGGTGGGGCTGGCTGGCATGTGGTGCTGGGGGATTGAACTGTGGTCCCTGTGCTTTGCTAAGCTTGTTCTAAGTAAGTGCGTTAGACCACTGAGCCATCTCACCAGCCCGAGGGAACTTTATTTAATCTGAAATTTTGAAACCTCTAATGAACATATAGCCAAAAGGAATCAAGAGTGCTTGGGAAGATTCTTTCCCATTTCCTAGACAGCTTGCAGGAATATTTACCTTCATAGCACTTCTTATCCAAGGGCAGTGCACTGGAATGTTTTCTTTTTTCAATGTTTGGATTTTACTGAAGGGAGGGGTTTTTTTAAAACTATGATTGTGAATTAAAAATTCAAATCAGATTTGGATCAGATTATAATTTTCTTTTAAAGAAAGATAGAACTTACCTGATCCCCTAAAATATGAAGAAATTGAACTGAAGCAGTTCTTTAAAAACCAGTGTGGGGGCTGGCGAGATTGCTCAGTGGTCTAAAGTGCCTGCTTAGGCATGCTTAGGCAGGTGCATGGGACTGAGGTTCAATCCCAGGCACCACATGCTGCACCAGCCCTGCCCTCAGGGTGGGCTGAGCTGGCAAAAAAAATAATAAAAAAATTTTTTTAAAAACTGAGGTTTTGGGGCTGGTGAGATGGCTCAGTGGTCTAAAGCACCTACTTAGAACAAGCTTGGCCAAAGCAGAGGG